AGTTGAAGAGAGTATTAATTAGGACACGAAATGTAATTTGTTAACATATGACTTAAATTAAAAATATATATATTATTATTGTATGTTGTTTGTTTTATGTTATATGTATACTTCAAAAAAAAAAAAAAAAAAAGTGTATGCTAAGATAAATTATAGTATGTGATGTGTGTATATATATCATGCATTGTCAATTCATATATTATTTGTATTATTTAGTTTAGGTAACAATGTTTATAATTACATATAGTTTGAAAGGTCTGTATCATTTTATTCGTGATTTAAAAATTGTACGAAATTTTCCTGTGTATTAAAAAATATGTACAATTTTTTTTTTTGAGGTTCTATAAAATATTTTTAAAAATACAAAAGAATCTCATACAATTTTTAAAAAATTTTGTACAATATTTTCTAATAGAAAAGAAAGTTCTATATAATTGTAAAACTATGAGGTAGTATGATACCAACTTTTTAAACTATAAGTGAATTATACACAATTTTTCCTTTATTTTATGTGGTGTATATTATTATCATATGATATGAGTATATACGATATATTTGTATTACGTGTAACATGTCCTTTACGATGTTTTGGTATACTTCATGTATTACCTTGCTTATACTTTTTGTGTTATTACCGTGTTGTCTAATTACAATCAACATTATAACTACCAACTCTCTTATATTTGAACGTCAAATTGCGATTTTTTATGTCTTAACTAAAAACGAAAAAATAAACTACAAACAAATGCAATCTTTATAAGTAAAATGAACTTTACAAAAGTGATGCAATCAAACATTACTTAACCCAACACTTCTTTGTAAGTGGTAACTTTTTATTCTTAATCACCGTAATTTGCGGCTTAATTATAAAGTTAGTGAAATTTCATGATTATTGTAGTATAGGGGAAAAATAAATAATATAAGTAGTGTTCACTTTATATTTTCTTATGTATGTATTTTTTATATCATGAATGAAGATTATAAAAGATAATATTTTCGGTTGATTTGTCAATTTTTTGTATGTTGATAGATTATATATATATATATATTGTGTGAGTGTATATATATTTATTATATTTTTCTTGGTAATATTCATTGATAATTATATCACTTAAAATTTGCTGGATGAATACACCCGATATAAAAAAAATTGATAATTTTAAAAGATTTTTTTTTTTGTAAATAATAAAATACTGGTAAAAAACTAAAAACTAACTGTTCGTGTTTCCATGTCTTATTCTTGTACTATTCAAATTTTGAATTTTTCTCTAAAAATTAATATCACATTTAACACGTTTTCTGTAAAATTACGACTAAACTATTTTCATATAAAAATAATTAAAAATAAAAATGTAAAGCAAATAGCAAAACAACACACCCAAAATATTACAATTATCGCCGGCCATTGCCAACTTTAATTAATTAAATCATTTGACAGATCTAACCAACATTCCAAATAATTGTAATAAAACTTATTTCATCATGTGTTCTAATCTATTTCTTGTTTCCAACATAACAATTTTTATTTTTTATTTTTAGATTTTATTTTAGTTTATTTTCTAAAAATTAATAAATAAAATCGATGGTGTTGTAGGTAGCAAACAAGGAGCAAGTTAGTGTTTAATTAATTTATTCTTCTTGTTGTAGCAAAGCAATTAATTAATAATGATGGGTACTAAAATATTGTCAATTATCCAACCCCATTATTAATTTATAATCTCAAGTTGCTTTACAAAACTCAATATTTGGATATAAAATTGCAAGCGTGACTTGAACATGTGATTTAGATAATTAATTTGTAATAATTGAGGTGACAAAGTACTCTACCTAATACCCACTTATCTAATTGCTATATATATATATATATATAATATATATAGTGTTTGTGTGACAATTCGGTGATAATTGTTAGCTGATTTAATTAACTATTAAGTTAGTTGATTCAATTAGTTGTTTGATTAACAGATTCAATTAATTGGTTTCACTAGTTGATTCAATTAATTATTTATATTTAAGTATTTGATAAAATAATTATTTGATATTAGCTATTTATACGTAAAATAATAATTGAAAGTATTTACATTGTATTTTTAAAATATTCAACTGTGTTATTTGAAGCTTAGAGTTTTTATTAATTTTTTTGTTATTGATTATTAAAAATTGTTATAGTGTCATGGATATATTAGCTTTGCTACTTTTTAGATATTTCTGTTAAAAAAGTTAATATATTTTTACTCAAAAAGTAATTTTTTTTTATCGAAAATAATATAAAATATAATATAACAAATTTTTAATATATATATATATTTGTTAATTATTAATTAATTTACTACTACAATTTTCATTAATTTTAATCTAGTTTATGTATTTTGAATATAAAATTTATATACTAAATATATAAAATTAAATTAATACTACCTCCATCCCACATACTGTGTTTGCTATGTAGACAGGTATTTTAGGAGGGGTGTAATTAGTAGATAATTAAGAATGTATCAGGGAAAATAATTATCCTATAATATAAATAATTATAAATTAAGATTAAGATAACTAATTAGTTTAATTAAAATTTTAAAATAAAAAATAAAAAGTTTAAAATGAGATTAAAATGTACAATCATTTTCCAAAAAAGGAAAGTCACATGGTATGTGAGACGGACAGAAACGGCAACATGGACATGGTATGTGGGACGGAGAGAATAATTTTTATATTTTTTCTTTAATCTAATAAACTAATATATTTTTAAAAAAAATAAAAAATATATAAAATAATTAATAATTTTAATTATTTGAAAAAAAAAAAAAATAGTATCATAATTTACCAAAAATTCAAATATATTAAAATGAAAAATAAAAAATATATATAAGGAGAATAATCACTCACTCCGTCCGTCCAGTTAAAAGAATTACTTTTAATTTTTACGTACAAAAACACTCTTATAAAATGTTCCATATAATAGATTTTTTATTTTTTATTTTAATTTGACTTTTATGGTCCAAGAAGCTTTATCAAACACCATATTTAAAACTTATTTACTAAACAACATAATTAGTTTTTTTTTATTGATCAAACTGTTAAAAACTATTAAATAAATTAAAAAATTTTAAAAATTGTAATTACGTCTCATAATATAAATAATTATTTTTTTCTTTAATTTTCCCAAATAACACCCAAGAAAAAATCTAAATTGCAAAACATTTTTATTAATATTCTACAAATATAAGAACAAAAATCATATGAAAAATCACAAATAGTGTAGATTCAATTGTCCAAAAAGCACCACCGATCAAAAGTTAATTAAAAAAAAAAAACAAAAAACATATACATATTGTATACACTAAAAATATATGTCTAAAATCAATTAAATATCATGTATTTTGGAAGAAAATAAAATTTCAATAAAATAAATATATGGTATTTAATTATGCACATATGTTAATTTTTGTACAATAAATATCAACCATTAATGCAAAAATTTGCTTAAAATAGAAGATATCGTACAAATATTACGTGCATAAATAGAGCCATAATAAATTTGGCAGCAAAATAAATTAATCTTGTCAATAAATGAAGTATATAAATTAATATCTTCCAAAAAAGACAATGATATAAAGATTTTGGCGAGAAAGGAAGGTGCAAAATCAAATCCATCAAGAATGGAAAACGACATCCGATGGAAAATGAAAGATTATAAAATTTTTCCATACACTTGGCACCATCCGAAAAGGAAGCCAAGGCCACCCATCTCCTATAAATAGGAGCCATAGCCAATTCATTTGAGACACCGAAGTTGCATCAATGATTCAAGCAAAGGGGTAAGTCTCTATACTCTCTCTGTATTGTTCTCAATGTTTTTTGTGTCTTTTGAAGCGTTCTTCGGACAAATGATCCAATATTGGTTGACGAATCGATGAAGTTAACGTTTTTCATCGTATGTCCAAGCCGGAGGAAGGATCAAAGCTCTCAAAGCCGTCGAGGAATTCGTCAAAGCCAAGGGAAGGTCTTCAAAGTTTCTCTCAAAGCTTCGAGGTGTTCATCGCGTTCTTCATAAAAGGCGCAGACTCGGCCCTCTTCGATCCGAAAGTCAAAGGGACATGCCACCAAAAGCGGTATGGAGCACCAAATCCACATTCTCAAAGATCAAAGCTGCGGATCGTTTAAAGAGAACATCAAATCCAAAGCTTAGGATCAAATCACCCGCACGTAGACCAAAGCCCTCCAAAAGCGCAAAGACAAATAAAAAATCAAAGCTGCGGATCGTCCAAAACAGACATCAAATCCAAAGCTAAGGATCAAATCGCCACACGGAGACCGAAGCTCTCCAAAAGGTGGAAAAGGCAAACTAAAGATCAAAGTTGCGGATCGTCCAAAGAAGACAACAAATCCAAAGACGATGATCAAATCGCCAATACGGAGACCAAAGTCCTCCAAAAACGGCAAAGCCAAAACAAATGTCAAAGTCGCGGATCGTCCAAAGAAGACAACAAATCCAAAGACGATGATCAAATCGCCAATACGGAGACCAAAACTCTCCAAAAGGCGGCAAAGCCAAATCAAAGATCAAAGCCTCGGATCGTCTAAAAAAAGACATTAAATCCAAAGTTGACGATCAAATCATCCGCACGAAGACCAAAACCCTCCAAAAGCCGACAAAGTCAAATTGAAGACCAAACCTCTTCGGATCAAAGAAGCCATCGAAAATCAAATTGGAAAATAAATCGATCCGGAAGGAGAATCAAAGGACCGCTTTAAATTCAAATCAAAAATATAATTTGTACAAACTTTTTGTTTATTAAAAATAACACAATTTTTTGTCCACACATACTTTAAAAATATCACATGTTCTTATTTCAAAGAATATGTAATATAACACATGTTATTTTTCCTAATTGGTGTTTTATAAAGTCTTGATCGATACTATTATATCACTGTTGAAAAAATTCAACACTCAGCATCATAACTGTTGACATATAAATGTATTTTCTTATATTCATTTTAACATTAAATAACAAATTTAAAATGAGCATCACATGGATTTGATATATTTTCGAACAATAATAATAATAATAATAGTAATAGATAAATGAAGTGTAGCTGGACAAGCAGAGAAGAACTGCTTTGCTTTACAGTGAGAATCAGATCAACTACTTTTACCTTCTTTACTTCTCTATTTCTATTTACAGACAACCTTCTTTCTGTTGTTCCAATTCAGTTCAATGGCATAGACTCCATGTTACAACGACTCCCGCGGCGTTTCCGGAGTTGCTTTGGCCTGCTTACTTGGCACAACAGGCGCGCCATCTGCAGGACTGCTGTATGTGCATGGTCTCTGTTCTTGGGACAATCCCGGCTTGTCCGATGCCTCTCGAGGTTTTTGTGCATCTGAGGATGACGACACCTTTGCTGCTTTGTCTTCCTCCATTTTCCTTTGTTGCTCGAACATCATTTGGAGATATCTCCCTTGTTCCTCGATTTGCAGCTGCAGATTTCTTTGAATCTAAAACAAGCAGAAGCAAAGAAGAAGAAGAAGAAAAAAAATTTTAATTGTGATTAAAACCGTCAATATTCAGAGTGAAATTGCAAATTTCTGATCGATGAGTAATTTTTGCTAATAAGATGAAGCACATTATTTTTTTCGACTAAAACTAAGTAAAAACTTGACTGGGAATGGGTGTGCTGAATCGAGGAAAGCTTGAATATATAATTGTATTTTGTATACCTCAAGCTGTTCGTGCAGCTGCTTCTGCACTTCCATCTGCAGTCGGAGAGCTTCAGTTATTCCCATCGTCCTGCCCCATCAAAATCGGGATTTTAGAAATACACCCCCAAAATATAGTAAGGATTACATATTATTTCAGACAAGATTTGATTAATTGTATTAGATATATCCTACTGAATCATGAGGCCAATGAATGAGTGAAGGTAACATATCACACAGTAGATACACAAACAAATATTAAACTTAAACGCCATACACTACTGATTCATTTGCGTTTCAGGGGACCTTTTGGAATTCAATTTGCCGACAGGGAGCTATTTTTTGAAAGAACTTTCACTAGAGACACATAGAACACATCTTAATAATTTATTTTCCAACCATTTATGAAAATTCCATTTGAAACCAAAGTCGGTCCCACTGTATCTTTGGCAGTCAAAATTCACAAATCATGTCAAGTAGTTTGAAGTTGTTCAAAGAACTTCTGTGACTTTATTCAATACTATGAGTGATAATGTCATTTGTGATATAGGCCAAAAATATTGTGGATGAAAATTATCCAATTTGACCTCAAATTGAAATTTCTATATAAAGAAAAAGGACCAAAGTTCTTTTTTCTTTTTGAAACTAACTCAATGGAATCAAATTGAAATGAATTTTGAGAAACCAAATATGCATAAGACATGAGGAAACTCACGTCTTCAAGTCCAGGGCTGCAGTATCTGGTGCAGTATGCGATTTTGGTTCTGAAGTGCCTGTAAGAAACAAGTCGACACAATAAACTTGTTATTAACACACTAATATGGCTTCGATTCATTGGGAAAGTACAGCTCTTGACTTCTAATATAGATTCAATGAGTCAGGTGTAGGTTTTCTCTACAATTTCATTTGTTATTCTTTCCAAACTGAAGCATATGTGAAACATTTTATTATGCTTTAACATTCCTAGTCAACTTGATCTCTAGATCGTAATTTTGTTACTTTTTCTTCTCTTTTGGAATAGTAAATAAAAAAACTCATAATCCATCTCTCTACAGTTACAATATTTTAGATGATTCTATCCAGAAAAAATGGATGGTGGAATCTCCCTTCTTTCTATCTTACAAGTTACTTGCTCGACTACAACTATGTTGTGTTCACCAAGTGGAAATATACATGAATAAGATAGTATTAGAAAGTTTCACAAGCAAATTGAGAATCAGTGACGTGATTCTACCTTCCGATGGCTCTGGCTTGAATCTAGCAGTTCTATATTTCTGAAACATTGGAACATGATGAGCGTGGAACTACTTAGTATCACTAAAATGTCGACAAAAAAAAACTTTCCCCATACCTGTAAATGGCTTTTAACTTGATATATAGTCAGGCCATCAACATTCATGAGCTTCCAAACAGCCTTGGGTGTAGCTTCTGCACAATTCAAAAAGCCAAGAGAGTGAACATTCGATCAAACTGAATAAACAGTAAGCAGCTCGTACTCACTCTCACTGCCACCAAGCTTATTTACAGCGTCTACAAAGAGTTCATGAAGCTCAGGAGTCCATCTCATACGTCCTTTACTTGAAGGTGCAGATGAAGTGGTGATTGCTTGAGTACTTTGTCCCTTCGGAGGAGGAAGCTGATTCAGCTGCTGAATCTGTGGCTTGCGTGTGGAGACATCCAGTGGAACATCAAAAAACTGTTAATGGTTAACAAGTCACTTGACGACCAAGAGCAATAAGTGAATGGCTTGAAAATAGTTACCTCTGTAAATTGGCATTAAAAAAATTTATGGAAAATAAATATCAAATATGCAAATAACCCCCTTTTGTTTCGAAAATCACCTGCCTGCATGAAGGTTATTTGCACATTTCTGTAAATGTAAGGAGGTTATTAGCAAATTTATTTTTCACAATGGTATTTTTTTGAACCACATGGTGATATTCATCTAACCCTACTGAAAATTATGAGAAAGAGACCTTTGGATCCAGATCTGGATCAGGAACATCGATATCGACTAGAAGATCAGTCCAGTTTGGATTGAGTGCATCATCAGCGACAGAAATAAACTCATCTGCCCACTCTGGCCAGTCTCGCCTCCTACTTTGGTCTCCCGATGCCATTAGACCAGTGGAGGACTCTTCCGGGACATTCTGAACCGGCATTATATTCATGGGAACATCAAGAAATTTCTCGATGTCAGCTGCATTCCAGGAGAGATCATTGTTCTGCATGGCACAACCATCTATCTTCCGAGGTTGCATATCTGGAAGCAGGGGAGGAGAAGAAAGTATGTGCAAAGATCGAGACATGGCTCCCGAGGCTTCCATCCGATTTCTTGGCGTTTCGGTTGGTTGCTTATGAAAGTCGCACACAGAATGATAAGTTAAGCCTGAAACAGAATACAACTCAAATGACTTCAACATAGAACAACTAGTAAAAGCAAATCCAGATGATCATTTTCACAGATCAAGATATAGCATTGAGGGCAGGGGAACTCAAACTCCAAACAGAAACAGAACAATCCTCAACTTTTTGATTTAATCGACGATTAAATTCCTAAAACTGTCACTTATTCAACACTATGACAACCTTGACAAGCCTGAATTAAGGGGTTCTTATCATAGCACCACAAGTGAGAGTCATTTTCAACGATCCAATTTAAAGCAACAAACTACAACTGTAAATGATCTGCAATCCGAAGTTCAACAGCATTCGGAGGAATACCTAATACCCTAGCTATTATCAAACTTAATTGGCTGAATCATCCTATGACTAACATGAACACAAGCAAAACATTCAAATGAGTTATAAACTAAGGATCAAATCAAAATTACAGAAGCCAATCATAATGGATGCATAAGAATCACCGGTAACCACTCATGCTATTAGTTATAATAAATCACTTCAGACTCTACCAATGAGCCCAAACTTAATTCTACGTTCTTGTTTTGCTCCTCGAATTGGACCACTCGTCAATTGCAAGAATTCAATAGCCAAAACCACTATTTGAATTGATTATTTGTTTTAATCGGTTCCTATTATCTATAGCGTAAAGTAAAAGCTTTCATTTGGCAGCCAGAAACCTTTCTGATTCCCAAAAACTAACAAACCAATTCAATCCATCCAAAAGTTCAACAATTTTTTTATAAGAAAAAGAAAATAGAGAAAACTACCACACCCCCTACGGCACCAAATTTCCAAAATAATCGATGAAGTAAAATTCAGAACATATGCAAAAAAGCGAGAATCTTATCGAAATTAATAGGAGCACAATTCAATCCAATACATTCAATTGAATTACAAAAACCGCCGCATAAAGAAATCTGCGAAAACAAGAAATTGGTGGTAATAGATAGAGAGAGAGAGAGAGAGAGAGCCTGGAATTGAAGAGGAGCAGCTTGAAGGAGGAGGGGGAATGAGAATGAGAATCTGATGGAATCTGTAAAGTGAGGCGGCAATGTAAAATGCATTGAAGAGAGCAGAACACTACCAATTGATGATTACACAACAATCAATCCACCATGCTTGTCTAATCTTGTGTTGTATTGTCGCACGTATTTCTGCGTTGACCTTCGTTATTACAGTAAACAACACATTAATTAGGGTTTCCCAATTTATTATCATTATTATTATTATTATTACTTTTTTAAATAAAATATATTGTTTTAATTTATATATTCATTTGGTTCCGCCTAAATTATTTTTTTTTTTATTATCATATTTATATAGTCCATCTGGGACAATAGAAAGACGCTTTCGGATTTTATAATAAATCTAAAAATACTAATATTTCTTTTATTAATTGAAATGCGTAAAAAAATTTGATACTTTTAATTTTGTATTTTAAATATAAAATAGTTATATGTATAATGATGTATATTAAATTTATAAAAATATTAAAAGATATTTCCTCTATCTTCGCGAAGATGGTGCATTTTGTTTGGACATTGAAATTTAAATAATATAGATTAGTTATTTAAATAGAGAATTTGATTATTTAATGATAAGATAAATTTAAAACATATATTTAAATATTTTTAATATTATATCTCAATAAAGATATTATTTTATATAAGATAAAATTTTATATAATACAATTAAATAGGAAAAAAACAAAAAATTAAAATAGATCATTTTTTTTTGGTGGGACCGGACAAAGAAAAGGAAAACATGTCATGTGTATTGGGAGGGAAGAAATATTTTGCTTTTAATATATTATTATAATAAGAAAATAGATAAATTTTAGAGAAACATGCAAAAATGATAAATCATTATAGTCAATAATGATATATTAACATTAAAATTACATAATTTTTACATAAATTATAAATTTATTATTAAAAAAAAATAGCAAAATAATCTTATACATTTTTATTTACTGAAAAAAAATATTGTTATTTTTTAATTTATTATAAAAATTCAAATATATAATTTTTGTTCGCAGAGAATAATATTTTAAAATTCAGAAAATTATTCTACTTTAAAAATTTTCAATATAATTTTAGAATTTTAAAATATTTTTGCAATTTAAAAGAATCCACACAGAAAATAACACAATTTCTATAACTATTCCCAATAATAATTTTACATAAATAAACTCGTGATGTTATTAGAATAATAATACCAATAATAATAATTATTATTAGTTTTTTTCATTCAAATAATCTTTTCATTAGAACATAAATCCTACCATAATGATGCAAAAATCAAGCTAAAATTATTATTTTTTTATTTATATAGTATCTATATAGTTTTTATTATTTACAAATTATTAAATTTTATAATTTTTCAATTTGATATAATTTAAATTATGTATTGAATGCATTTAATTTTTTTCGTAATTAAATTTGAAGTAATTTTTCTAAGAGCCAACAATAATATAAATGTATTGAAAAATTGTCAATTTTAGATTTTATTAATAGACTTGCTCATCTTATAAACTATGTTATTCAAAAATAAATTTAAAAAATACAATGTCCGTTATTATTTAGTTGATGACATTTATCGAAATTGATAAATAATTGTACAAGTTATTCATAATCCATGAAGGATAAAGAAGAATATTTTTACGCAAAAGCGTGAATCCTGCAAAAAGAGTTCAAACGCAACCACAATATCAAAGCGAGATTGAAATCCGACAGATTTTGTAACATCATTTTACTTAAGTCCATTCCTTTGTTAATGAGGTAGTCATCTTTAGACTAACAACCATTATTTCTAAAGAACAATATATATATATATATATATATATTATCCAGCAACATAAGATAATAGTATATTTTAACACCAACAAAATGCATAATTAAATATGTTTATATATTATATTACATTAATCTTTGCTATATACTCCCTCCATTCCGTATTTATATATTTATTTGCTTTTTACACGGAGTTTTAGAAATATTAGTATTATATTAGAATAAAGTAGAAATAAAAGTAAAAAGACTAAATTAACCATATTAGTATTGTATGATATAAAGATAATGACATTTGTGTAATATATTGTAAATTGAAAAGGTATTTGTAATGTTACGTAGATAGTACAATTACTAAAAGTAAATAAATACTTTGTTATAGGACGGATCAAAATGGATAAATTGTCAAGAGAGGAAGGGAGAGAGTATCATATATATATATATATATATATATATAGTAAGATAAGTGCGGATTAGGTAGAGTGCTTTGTCACCTCAATTATTACAAATTAATTATCTAAATCACATGTTCAAGTCACACCTGCAATTTTTATCCAAATATTGAATTTGGTAAAGCAACTTGAGATTATAAATTAATTATGGGCACTAAAAACAAAAAAAAAAAGTCTTAAAGTCTAATTAGTTACAAATTTTATTTTTTTTTAACAATGAAAATATTTTCGTAGTTAAAATATGTTATTTATTACAAAAATTATTTTTGTCATTAAAACTAAATTATATATTACAAAATTAATTTTTTAGCTAAAATTTTTTGGTTAGAAAAATCCTATTTTTATGTCAAAAGGGTTTTAGTTAAAAAATTATATTTTCATAGCTAAAATTATTTGGTTAAAAAAATCAAGCATGTTGCATATTTTTATAAAAATCATATTTTTATAGCTATATTTTATTTTTATACTTTCATTACAAAAATTTTATCTTTTGTTATGAAAGTCAAATTTGTTGTAAAAAATCTTTACGGCCCAGTATAAGTCATTTTGTCACAAAATCTTTTTTACTACGAAATTATTATATTTTGCTACGAAATTTTTCGGAACTACATTTCAATTTTTTTGTATTGCGGATTGGATAATTGACAATATTTTAGTAACCCCATCATTAATTAATTAATTAAACACCAACTTGCTCCTTGATTCCTACAACATCGATCTAGGTAGAAAACAACAAATTTATTTATTAACTTTCTTATATATATAGAAACATTGGTTGTTAAGTGGAAACAAGAAACAAAATCAAATAAAATACATGATGAAATAATTTATTTATCATAATTAATTGGGATATTATCTGTTGTGTGATCTAATTAAAGTCGGCAATGGCGGGCAGTATTCACTAATTTTTAATATTTCACAAAACTTTGTAATTAAGCCGCTAATTTCGGTGATTAACAATAAAAATTTACCACTTTACAAGAAATATTGGGTTTAAGTAATGTTGAGTGTAGGACTTATGTATAAATCTCAATTGAAGAAGTGAAGAATGCATTTGTTTGTAGAAGTAGGACAAATATTGCTTATAATTTATCTTTGTCATTGGAAAAGTTTGTATCATTTTCCAAATTGAATTAAATTATCTTATATTTTTAAAAATATTGTACATAATTTCTTAGAAATTACATTAGGTATCTTATATTATTTAAAGTATTGGACTGAACCTCTTAAAAAAGAATTTTATACAATATTTTTAAAAATATAAAAGAATTTTGCAAAACCTTCTAAATCATAAGAAAATTAGTGTTGCTTTCTCAAAACATAGATGAGTTATAGCAAATTTTATCTTAAAATAATATTTTAAATAAAATTTATGTCTATAATGATATATATATATATATATATATATTCAGGGTGTGTTCCTTGAAATTAGATTTTATATCTATCAAAAAAAAATTCTCCAAAAATATCAAATAAAACACCTATTTTTTATTTTTTATATTATATTAAAAATTAATTTTTAATTAAAAATATCACATTAATATCTATTTATATCACATCATACAACTATTCCAATTCAAAATTTTTACTATTAAAATCTCAACTCAAAATCTCCAAACAAACACCCTTAGTATATATATTAGCCTTAATTAGATTTCCTAATTAAAATTAAAATTAAAATTAAATTAATCGGATCAAGTTTCATTACAAAATAAATAAATAAATAATAAATAAATAAATAAAGTTGCAAGTTGGGATTGGATCTCGGAAATTCTGAGGTCACTCAAATAACTTTGAAATTTTTGAAACAACTCAAATAGAAACGAGTTTTACCTTTCGGATATTAATCCGAGATAAATTTTGAGGATTTAAAAAAATTATTTCGAATCTACTTTAAATTCCAAAACTATTTTTTCGAGACAAAATAATATTTTTGTGGAAGTGATATGCTTACATAGTGCGAAATATAAATTGATAGTACATGAAGTATAAATAGGGTGTGTTCATTTGGCTAATTTACTCATATTTTTACTATTTATTACATTTTTTCTCTTAACAAGTATCAAATCAAATATTTATTTTTTATTTTATAATAAAAATTAATTTTATATTTAAAACATCATTTATATTATATTATACAACTATTTAAAATCAAAATTTTTACTATTAGAATCTCAAATTAAAATCCAAACACTCAAACAAACACACCCCTAATGTATTAATTTAAATCTTGACAAATTATATTTCATGTATTTATTATTGCTAATCTGAATAGTTGTAATAATTCATTCCCACAGCAGGACAACTAATTAAATAATTAATTAACATGCAAGTTGCACTAAATTCATTACTACAAGAAGCACCTTCCTCGCTTACACACAATCAAACGCACGCATCGAAGAAATAATCCCAAATTGTAATAATAATAATAATAATAAGAGCTCTGTGATCTGAAGGTCCAGTAACAACATCCATGGCGGAAGCAGCCGTCTCATTCGCGGTGGAGAAGCTGAGCGACATGGCAATTCAGAAGGTCACCTTCCTCCTCAACGTCGAGGACCAGCTCACTCGGCTCAAAGACCAGCTCGAGAACATGCAGTGCTTCCTCAGAGACGCCGCCGAGAAGCAAGCCGCCGCCGCCGACCAGCTCATCGGAAAGTGGATCGCCGACATCAGAGCCGTCGCCCACGACTCCGAAGACTTGATCGAAATCTACGCCCTCAAAGTCGCCGCGCCGCGCCGCCGAGGGCTGCGCGGCTGGCTCGCCTGGTTCCCCCGGCACGTGTACAATCTGGACCGGCTAGGGCACGCCATCGAAGCCATCCAGCGGCGGCTCGGAGCCATCGAAGCCAGCCGGAAGGCGTACGGGATCGAGAACATTCTGAAGGAGTTGGGGAAGGGATCAATATCGTCGTCAAAATCGGAGAGCGTGGAACGACGTCGTAAGGTGAGTCCTTGGGAGACGGAGAGGCACGTGGTGGGGCTGGAGGAGCACGTGCAGAGGCTGCTGGCGGAGGTGGTGTGGGGCGGCGGCGAGGGGCTGCAGGTGGGCGGCGTCGTGGGGATGGCCGGCGGCGGGAAGTCGACGCTGGCGAGGATGGTGTACAACCACGCGGCGGTGGCGGAGAGGTACGGGCGGCGGCGGGCGTGGGTGTGCGTCACGCGGGAGTTCAACCCCAAGGAGGTGATGAAGGCGGTGGTGATGCAGCTGGTGGAGAAGGAGGAAGACCGCCGGACGGTGGCGGATGTGATGGACAAGTCGCCGGAGTCGGAGGTGCAGAGGATGCTCCAGGAGCGCCTCGCCGGCGGCGGCGGTTACTTTCTGGTGGTTGACGACATCTGGCGGCAGGAGGATTGGGACTACTTGGCCAAAGCTTTTCCCGATCAAGGTAACCTCTACTCACCTAACCTCACTGCTATTTTATTAGTATTTATTTTTTCTATTATATATATTTTTTAAATTTAATTATCGTATTTTTATTCTATAAAATATACTGAGTCTCACTTACTTGTTTTTCTAATTCTAAAGTCTCACTTACATATATATATATATATATATATTTTTGAACTTTAATGTATCACTTATTTTTTTATTTTGAAAAAACGTAGTTGTCATGACCTTTTTACGTATTCATCTTTGAATATTAATTATTATATCAATACATCGTAGAAATTAAGATAAAAAAGCAAAAATACGCTTATTAGTCTCTTATTATACAAATACAATGATATTTTTCGAGTAAATTATTCAAATATAAAAATATTTTTAATGTTAAATACAATGATTCAAAAACCAAATGACAACCTTCTTGTCGGACGGAGGTAGTATTATATTTAAATTAAAATTTAAACGATATAACTAATATATTAAATTTTAAAAATATAAATTTAATTATATAGTAGATAATTTAAGATTTTTAAATATAATTTATAAAATTTTAAAATAATTTGTCGACTAATTTAAATTTACTTAAAGTTAATTATATTTTTTATTTTTAATTAAAATTTAAAATATATTTTATACATAAATTTTAATAAATATGTTTTCAATTAGGGTAGATAGTGCAAATTTTTTAAATATAATTTACAAAATTTTAAAATAAATTAGAAAATTTAATAAAAAATATATATATTAACGTAACTATGTTCTATTTGGTAATTTTAACCGTTTGAAAAATAATTTCAATTTATTATATTCAAACAGTTTTTTTTATAAAATATGTTTTTATAATGATTCCAAACATATTTTCTATTTTTTAACTTCTGCTTCTACTTTTGACTTATGCTTATTTTTAAGTCAATTCAAACGAACTCTAACTTGTAGGCTTGTGGTAGTTAAATTTTATAATATACATTAAAAGTTGTTTCGATATTTTACTTGGATAATTTTACTAAGTATGTGTTGAAACTTGTTTTCTTTTCTTTTCTTGCATATCAATAATTGTTTTATTACAAAACTAAACTGCTGGTTTGTTTTTTTAACCAAATTTTATTATTTGGACTCTGCTTTTTTTGGAAAAAAAGAATATATTTTTTCCTCTAACAAAACATCCCATCAAATATTATTTTAATATCAAACTCAAAACTAAATTTTCTCAAACTCAACCAAAAGAAACATGTAACTTTATAGTCCAATTAATACATATAAGTGTATATATACTTAAAAGAATTTCTATTGATGATTATATGGTCATTTCGTAAATTGATTTTATAGGTACATCAAGTAGAATATTGGTAACAAGTCGTTTTCGCAACATTCCAAGGGGTGCTCGATATATTCACGAGCATAATGGATTAGACTCCGACAAGAGTTGGGAACTATTGTTGAAGGTGGCATTGATCGACAAGAATAAAGGCAAGTGCCCGTCGGAATTAGAGGCTATAGGAAGACAAATCCTAGACAAGTGCGATGGTTTGCCCCTTGCAATAAGTGTGATGGGAGGTTTATTACAAGAGCAACGACAATTGAAAAGTGGTTGGGAGAAGGTTCTTAAAGGAATGGATTCTTATTTGGGAAGAAGTGACGATAGTGTAATGTCTATTTTGGATTTGAGTTATCATGATTTGCCTCCGCAACTAAAATCTTGTTTCTTGTGTCTAAGTTTTTACAAAGAGGATGCTACCATCCCGGCGAGAGACTTGATACAAATATGGATCGCCGAAGGCTTTATCCCTTCGAAAAAGGGGGGCGAGGAGACAATGGAGAATATTGCAAGGAGTTATCTGGACGAGTTGATTAATCGAAACATGATTCAAGTCAAAGATTTGGGAAAGGATGGGGTTAGGGTTTTGAACTGTCAAGTTCATGATCTTCTGCATGACTTATCCATTAAGAAGGCAAAAGAGGAAATCAACTTTGAGGCTTTAAAGGAACCATTTGATCTTGAATCATTCGATAAACATCGCCATTGTGTTGTTCATTACAACAATGAAGGGCTCGTGGCCTCCAAGAAAAACCGGCGCCTCCGCTCTCTTTTCTTTTCCGGATCAAAATCCGAAGTTAATCTTGACGGTGTTTCATCCGAGTTTTGGGAAAGTTTTGAAATTTTACGGTTGCTTGATTTGGAAGGCTTTGGCTTGAAAACTTTCCCAAACTCGATATGTACAATGGTTGCGCTAAGGTACTTAAGGTTAAGAAGCAATAAGTTGGATAAGCTTCCGGACACATTAGGTAACCTTAAGAGACTACAACTTCTTGATGTTTCGGACAATCACCGGCTGGTGGTGCCGAACATCATATGGCAATTGGAAAGTTTGCGACATCTTTTTATGGATGGGCAAATCGTTTGCGAAGAGCCGTTGAGGTTAGACACTTTGAAGAAATTACAGACCCTATCCTTCGTTTGGACAAGCAACATCGTTGTCGAGCACCTCGCGGAACTCACTAGCCTTTGCAAATTAGGGTTAGGCCTAAAAGAAGGCGTCGATGCGAACAAGCTCTTCGCTTCGATGGCTAAGCTAAAGAATTTTGTCTCTATCGACGTAACATTTGCCGAAGGCGCATTTGCTTCGACCGATGGGCTCGAGAGTTTGCAACATCTTATTAGGCTTAAGATAAGATTTCAAGTGCCAAAGATATCGAGTTTCGAAAATCTCTTACAGAATCTTTCATACGTGACATTGATTCAAACCGATCTCAACGAAGATCCGATGCCGGCTCTCGAGCAATTGCCAAACTTAGTGTACCTCAAATTGGATCAAGCATTGGACTATGAAAACAATGCTATGGTGATCTCACCTAATGGTTTCCCCAAGCTCAAAGAAGTTCATCTTCTTGAATTGTACTTTGTCAAAAAACTCAAAATCGGAGATGGCGGATTGCCGGAACTCGAAAGATTGTACATCCATTATTGTCCGAGGTTGATGATCCTCCCAGAAAAGGAAGAGATGAGAATGCTGAGGAATCTGCAAGAATTGAAGATGTTGTGGGTAAGCTCAAGAAATGTTAAAAAGCTTCAAGATCCCAAATACAGTCATGTATTTTCTAACATACCTTCTGTAGAGGTTGACTATAAATATGATCATTGAGTTTGTTGTTTCTTTTACTGTTATTCTTATCTATGATGTAATACAAACAATGCATAAAATGTATTTTCAAACTTGTTTTTGTTTTATATATATTTACCAAAATTAATAGAAAGTGTTTGACAAACAAATTTAAGAAGTTTGTGTTGTATCAGTTGTTGATTGGATAGTGTTGTCTGAATGGATCTTTCATAGCAAGACTAAGTTCAAATTGGGTTAGCAAAATACTCCCTATGCATTTAGATATAAGCTATGAAGTTTTAAAATTTTAAAAAGTTTTAAATATAATAAAAAAATTAAGTATTTGGTATAATATACTCTTTTCGTCCGCCTCTAAAGTCACATTTACCTTTTTATCTTATTCTACTTAACATTAAAAATATTCTTATATTTGTATAATTTTTTTTTACAAATATCATTCTATGACATCAATGTATGTGTTGTGTGAATTTTTACTCTGTATTGTCAACTCATATTATGCATTTGTGTTATGTTAGCATAAACCATTGGATTGAGATCAATTATAGACAAAATAATATAAAATCCTCTTGTGATTTTTGGAATTTTCTGAACATCTCTTTGATCTTAATTATATTGCATATTAATATTGCATAAAAAAAAAAAACCCTTACTATTAGTACCTAATGGTGGTTTCTAAAATATTGTATAAAAAACCCTTATTATTATTATTATTATTATTATTATGATGTCGGTTGAATGAGTTAAATGAACTTGTTGTTTATTTATTTATTTTTCTTTGTGTTTGGTTGAGAGTAAGATTATAATCTTGAAAATTAATTTAATTTAAACATTGTATAATGTTATTAGTCGTTTCATTATATGTTGATAAATATCAACAAAAAGAGGACAAAAATAAAAAATAAAAAATCATATTCAAGGAGCCGTAAAACATAACAATATCAGGTGGCACGACGAGATTTTATAGCAGTCAAGAGTACACATTCGAAGTAGATTATTGAATGCAAATACAAAATACAATATTTCTTGTGGAGATTGTGCGGAATTTCAAAAGCAAACGGAATTTTTGGCGTATTTCAAATATCATAGGGAGCATACATGTTTCATGGACTCAAGTAATTGTTGTTACACTACTTCTTCGCAGATGAAAATCGGTACTTTACAAAATTAAATTAATGAGACATACCGTTGGTCTTAAAGCAGCAATGAAGATCCATATGACACATGATTTTTCTAATGTGAATTATCTTGTCGGACTTAACTTGCCGACTATTAGGTTTCATAGAAAAATTATGCATAATATACTCAAATAATAACGACTGCGAATTTCTACTGTTGGGATGGAATAAGTGCAACCCCGATAAATTCTTGTACACTTTTCCAAATGGGCCAACTCCCGAAGCGTGGTAAAATCACAGTTATAACATTATCTTGTCAACGAAATAAGGACAATATCCAAAGCAATAAAAGACAAGATATTTGGTAACCCGGTTCGGTTATAACCAACCTACATCCGGGGGATTCCAATCCAGGAGAAGTTCACTAATCAAGGTTGATTATGAACTAAACAGCCCAAAACTCCTTTATCCCATACTATGACGCAAACCACCTAGGAAAATCCCTCCACAGGTATAAGTTGTCACGAACTCGTACCGACAACTAGCAGATAGCAGGGTTGCTCAGACTATGGACGAATCTCCTGATCGGACTTCCAATCTCTTCTTCCTCCGACGATGTCTCCGGCAAGTAAATGTGACAAGCACTCTTTCAATGCATGGAGAAGGGAAGGGTTGGGGTTGAGATGATTTAACTTACTTTCTCTCACAACAGTTCTCTCTCTAAACCCATACAACGACCAAAAAACTTCCCACATAACAAACCAAGAAGCAGCCAAACAAAGCATACAGGACAAACTCAATTAAAACCCTTTGCACGAAAGTGGAATGATGTATTCCTGCATGAACTCTGTCAAAGGTTGACCACCCAAAAATTCATTCTTTTTGTCTCTTCTAAGGTTCCCAAATCGAGAAGAGTAGACCAGCAGAGTTGCAGGCAGTCTATTAAAATGACCTGAATGGAAACAAAAAAAGGCAGCAGGGGAAAAGCAAGAAGAACCACATGCCAAAAAAAGTTGGAGAAAAATATTGTTCCAACATCTACATTGAAAAAAAAAATGACACTATCTATGTGAAATAATACTAAGTAATACTATATGAGATAAAGAATATAATAATCAAATATACAATAATTTATACGAATATATTTATATTAATATAAAATTACTGTTTTAAACTGTAAAAGAGAGAGAGAGAGAAAATCTTAAAAGAATAATTTAGTAATAATTGCATACTTTAGAAAAGACTTTTGGTTATCAAACTCAAATAATATACGTATAATTAGTAATAATTGCAAAGAGTCATAATATCATACTTGTTCAATTTTATTTCATTTTTTCTAAAATGTTTAATTTATTAATTTGACGAGTTATAAATTAATACTCCTCCGTTCTCAGAATTATAGTCTTAATTAGGTTAAACACGGAATTTAAGAAATATTAATATTATATTGGTAGTTGGTAAAAAGTATAGATAAAAGACTTTTTTTTTTTTGCCCTTGTGATGTATTAGTGTAAAAAGTAGTAGCAATTGTGTAATAAAAATGAAAAAATAGGGTAATTTTATAGTGATATGGTTATTTATGAAAATAAGACTATTGTTTTGAAACGGACAAAAATGGTAAACAAGAGTATTGTATCGGGATGGAGGAAGTATATAATACATTCATTGATAAACAAAATGATGGATAATAAACAAACAAATATATATATATATGTATATATGCGATTTTCTTTTGGTAAATTATATAACACCCCCTTGTATATATTTTCGTAAAAATGTACAAAACACTCTATATTTTATTTATTGTGTGAAACTCTCTTATTTAATGTAAAATTTGTACGAAACACCCTCCATGCCAAAAATGATGTTTGGTTCTAAACAAAGACTTACGCAAGTTTTATACAAATATAAAAAAAAGGTAAAATATCTTAAATAATTTTTTTGAATAAAATAAATAAATAAATCAATGATCAATTATTTATGTTTATAGTTTTTTAAAAAAATTAGATAGCAATTTGTTTCCAAAAAAATTATAAAATGATTATTTATTTATTTTATTCAAAAAAAAATTATTTAAGATATTTTATATTTTTATTTATGTCTTTATTCAAGACCAAATATCATTTTTGGACAAAGAAGGTATTTCGTACAAAGTTTACATTATTATAATAAAGTTTTATAAAATAAATAAAATATAGAGTAGTACGTAAAATACAAAGGAATATTATATAATTTACCTTTCCCCACAAAACTTCTTTGTCCACATAATAATAATAATGATCATATAATAAAATAATAATAATAATAATAATAATAATAATAATTTTAATTCTTAATTGACCCCTTACAGTTAATAAGGTATATAGTTGTGTTCTTCTGGTATTGCAAAAGCTGTTTTTTCATCCTTAAATGACCCCTTATACTTTAGCATACAGAAATTGTGCGAATTCATTTAGCAAAATTAGCGGCATCGTATCCGCTGGATAAGCGCCAAAAAAATTCATTTATGAGATTAAAACAAATTCCATATATTCGCCGGGTGGAATCTAACTAACGGATACGTGTGTTCTGGCGTAGCAGACGGGTGCAGCGTATGAATAAAATAGAAAAGATTAAAATAACTTGTCTGATATAAAAGTAACGATATTTGTGTAATATACTGTATATTGTAAAGGTGTTTTTAATGTTAGTAGAAAGTACAGTTACTAAAAATAAATAAATATTTTGTTATAAAACGGACCAAAATTAAATAAATATAATAAATAAATTGTTAAGAAACATATAGACTAATATATTTATATCTACGAGAAAATGATTTACCACTTATCTAAACAAGGGTTTGGCGAGTATACTTGTTACATGTAGTTGAATATAATTGTACAAAATACTTTATTAAAATTTTATTATTTTATACTTTTTTAGTTGAACACAAATTTTAATAATATGGTAGTATAGTAGTTGATTGCGATATAAAATAACTGTATTTTTTAAAAATGTACGAGTGAATTAATGAGCTAAGAGATTATTGGATGGTTTGGTTGAGCTGGGTATCTCCTAGACATATGGTTGATCTGATACAACAGTGGAATGTTTTACTGTAAGATAAATACAGGAAAATTATATGAGAATCAACCTTGTTGGGAGTCATTTGGTGTCTTTGGTCTTTTTGTAATGAACTGATTTTCCAAGGAAAATCTTTGCAACAGGATTAATGCATAGAATAAGATGGAATATGTAGAAATGGGTTCATGTTATATTTCCTCAGGAATTTGCAGGTGTCCCATTAATTGACGATAACTTGGCGAAGATTTCTATTCAACCAAAATTCAATGTTACATCAAGACGTGGAGTCGACCCCTCCGGCAGCAGGAATGTGGAAAATCAACGTGGATGGTTCAGCCTTGGGTAAACCAGGAAATGCAGGTATAGGTGCGGTGGTGCGTGATGAGCGGGGACACATTATCCTTATCCTTTCAAAGTATGTCGGGAGTGCGGATTCCAATACTGCAAAACTTGAAGCAATTTTTCAAGTTCTTCAAATCATTAAGCTATATGCGGGCTTTCCCATTCCGAAATCAATTATCGAGAGCGATTCCACTACGGTAGTCGCTTGGCTCGCCAATAATGAAGGGTTTCCATGGCGTCTTGATCACAAGGTGCAAGAAATTCATAGCTTCATCAGTCATTCGAATAGGACAAAATTATCTCACATCGTGTGTGAACGCAATTACCTGGCTGATGGTTTGGCCAAGAGAGGGTCCGGTCGGAACACCGAACTTTTGGCATGGTTATAGATAAAAGGTATGTGCTTCGTTGTTTATCATAGTCTGCTTAATTCTATTGGAAAAGGAAAAAAGTTAGTTCTAGAAGGCTTTTTTCTCATTGTTGAGAAAGAGTTGTTTCACATCTTTAACGTCAGTATTAGCAGGGTTTCATGTTTCTTTAATGTCATATTTTGATTGTATTATGGGATGGGATTGAGTTAGTATGAATGTAGTTCGA